CTATTTGAGGGTAGTGCATATTATATACTCTTAGAAGACACTTGTTTAGGATAGAGAGTGAAGATTGGCTGGAAAGGAAGTAAGGGACAAGAAAATTAATATTTATGGAAGATCTCCCATAAAGAAGTAAGCTGAACTAAAAGAAGTGGAATGATGGCAATCAACTCCAGTACTCTTGCCTGGAAAATCCCATGGACGGAGGAGCCTCGTAGGCTGCAGACCATGGGGTCGCTAAGAGTCAGACACGACTGAGCGACTTCACTTTCACTTTTCACTTTCACGCATTGGAGAAGGAAATGGCAACCCACTCCAGTGTTCTTGCCTGGGGAATCCCAGGGACGGGGGAGCCTGGTGGGCTGCCGTCTATGGGGTCGCACAGAGTCGGACACGACTGAAGCGACTTAGCAGCAGCAGCAACAGTGTGTATGTCAATCCCAATCTCCCAGTTTATCCCTCCTCCTCTTTCCTCTCTGGTAATCATAAAATTGTTTTCTACATCTGTGGCTCTATTTCTGTTTTGTAAATAAGTTCATTTGTACCATCACTTTAGATTCCACATATAAATAATATCATATTTGTTCTTCTCTGAATGACTGACTTCACTCAGAATGAGTCTACAGGTCCATCCATATTGGTGCAAATGGCATTATTTCACTCCTTTATATGGCTGAGTAATACCCCACTGTATATATGTGCAACATCTTTATACATTCTTCTGTTGATAGACATTTAGATTGCTTCCATGTCTTGGCTATTGCAAATAGTGCTACAATAAACATTGGGGTACTTGTATCTTTTTGAATTATGGTTTTCTCTGGGTATATGTCCGGAAGTGGGATTGCTGGACCTATTTTTAGTTTTTGTAAGGAACCTCCACGCTGTTCTCCATAGTGGCTGTACCAATTTACATTCCCACCAACAGTATAGAAGGGTTCTCTTTTCTCCACACCCTCTTCAGCATTTATTGTTTGTAGATTTTTTGATGATGGCCATTCTGACTGGTGTGAGGTGATACCTCGGACTTTTAATTTGCATTTCTCTAGTAATTAGTGACATTGAGTATCTTTTCCATGCTTTTTGGCCATCCATATGTCTTCTTTGGAGAAATATCTTCCAGATCTTCTGCCTACTCTTTGATTGGGTTGGTTTTTGTTATTGAACTGCATGAGTTGTTTGTATGTTTTGGAGATTAATCCATCTCCTAAAGTAATGAAAATAAAAACAAAAACAAACAAATGGGACCTAATTAAACTTAAAAGCTTTTGCACAGCAAAGGAAACCATAAACAAAATGAAAAGACAATCCACAAAATGAGAGAAAATATTTGCAAAAGAAATGACCGAGAACCTTGCTTTAGGAAGTGAGTTTTCTATTTATTTTTAGCTGTGCCCAGCTATGTCATCAGATGGCCATTGCTAATAACCATGTGGGAAACACCACTTGAGGCTGTTGTGAGGTTCACTTTATCTGAAAACAGAAGGAAGGCTGGAGATCTGAGTGCCTTTGGCCAGCTCCGGCTCTCTGCTTTCCTGACAGCTGCTCCCTGGGCCCCGTGGGCTGAATCACCCCCTGGAGCGTCTGTGTTTACATCTGGGGATCAACTGCCCAGTGAAGGCAGCCGACAGCTGCAGGCCTTCCAGTTGGCTTTGCTCACCCCAGGTGGTGGGGTGGCCCCCGAGTCTGTGTTTCAGCCTGTGTTCCAATCTGTGTTTCAGCCAGGCGTACTGCAGTCCATGGAGTCACAAAGAGGTGGACACTGAACAACAACAACAATAAACTTGGCTTCACGAAACAATTGCTGAATTAGAGCCCTTCAGTTCAGGAAAATGTCATTTAGATCACTCATTGACAGCCCGAAGCCAGGACAGAACACTGATGTTTGGAGAATGTTGGTTAGACAGTCTCAACCACTTGTGGGTCATCATTATGATTTTTGCAATATCCATGTGCTTCATAGTTTTTGCTCAGCTTTTTTTTTTTTATTTAAATAGACGTATTTAAAAGGGAAACATAGCACTACCATAAGTAACCACAACACAGTTTCAGAGCAAAACTTTCAGTCTGGAGGAGGTTTTTTCTGTTAAAGGGGAAAAAAAATAAAGTTAGAGTGATGTTCAAGATATATGGGCTTTCCTGGTGGCTCAGATAGTAAAGAATCTGCCTGTAATGCAGGAGACCCAAGTTCAATCTCTGGGTTGATAAGATTCCCCTGGAGGAGGGCATGGCAACCCACTCCAATATTCTTGTCTGGAGAATCCCATGGACAGGGGAGCCTGGTGGGCTACAGTCCATGGGGTGGCAAAGAGTCGGACATGACTGGGCAACAAACAGTTTTAAGATATACTAACCACTACGTGGAAACTCTCTCCTTGATATAATTAGAAAGAGGAAAAAAAGAAAACTTTCCCACTCTGTATCCATTGTAATTTGACTGCCATGATACATGCACCGAATAAAAATCAGCCTGAGAGGTCAGGAGCATAATCATTGCTTGCTGCAGCTCTAGCTGCACATGGGCCACTTTGGAGTTCTCAGCATTCTGCAAAGAGCAATGCTTCAATCTGCAGTTTTCTGATAAGGACAGAGAACTGCAGCCTGGTCATTGAGCTCTGAAATTTCCTTTAAGCTTCAGCCAACTCAGTGGCCCAAAGTGTAGGGTTCAGCCAAAATATAATTTAAATAAAGTCTGTACTATTTTAAAAACTTTACTTTTAATTGGAAGATAATTGCTTTGCAATGTTGTGTTGGTTTCTGCCATGTGAGTGTGAGTGTGTTCGTCACTCAGTCGTGTCCGACTCTTTGCAACCCCATGGACTGTAGCCCACCAGGCTCCTCTGTCCAGGGGATTCTTCAGGCAAGAATACTGGAGTGGGTTACCATTTCTTCCTCCAGAGGATCTTCCCAGCTAGGGATTGAACCCGGGTCTCCCGCATTGCAGGCAGATTCTTTACTTTCTGAGCCGCCAGGGACAACATGAATCTATGTCCACTCCTTCTTGAACCTCCCTCCCACCCTCTATTCCTTCCCATCCCTCTAGTTTTGTCACAGAGCCCTGGGTTGAGCTCCCTGTGTTGAACACAGCAATTCCCATTAGCTATCTATTTTACACACGGTAATGTTTATGTTCATTCAATGCTACTCTCTCAGTTCATCCCACCCTCTCCTTCCATCGCTGTATCCACAAGTTTGTTCCCTATGTCTGTGTCTCTATTCCTGCCCTGCAAATAGGTTCATCAGTACCGTTTTTCTAGATTCCATATATATGCTTTAATATGCGATATTTGTTTTTCTCTTATGACTTTCTTCACTGTGTATACAATAATGACAGATGAATGGATAAAGAAGCTGTAGTACATATATACAATGGAAGTCTGTGATATTTTTATCAACAAAGCACTCATTTGCCTACCTATGGTTTTCCCTCTTCAACCTTGCTGACACCACATCAGCTCAGGCAACCTTAATATATATGTTCTGATGGTTTGGGAGATGGGAAAAAAATCCTTATACATATTGAGAAACTGTAAAGAGAAAGTATGGATTACAAAGAAGATACATGAATTCACATGCATGAATGGAAACTATGGATTTTAAAGTGTGAACTTTATTATCGTTATAGTTTTACAATATGGATATATAATGATAGGTATTGCCTATAATGATATAATCTATCATGACGGATATTGCCTTTGAGGAAAACGGGGTTAAGGACACATGGATGTTTCTGTATGATTTCCTACCACTGTGTGAGCACTGCAGTTATGTCAGAATGAGGAGTTTAAGTTGAGGAGGGTGTGAATGTTAAAAGTGTCCTGCAGATGTAAGGCGTTCTTTTTCTCCACATAGCTTTCATATGTATTATTTCATGAGAACCTTAATCAACCCTCTTCATTTCTGTCTGCGTTTACCCATTTCACAGGTGGGGAAATGAAGCTTCAGAGAGGAAACTTTACTTATTGAACGTGATGGAACTCAGAGATAACAGAACAAGGACTCAAATCCAATTCATTTGAAACTAAGCCAAAAACTAAGAGAGGTTCCGGAAGGGCTATTTTGACAGTAAAAAATAGTGTTATCCTCAAATACACGCTGAGCACCAGTTATGCACGGGGAGGAGTGTGCAAAACTTATATTGTGTAGTCAAGGACCATGCGTTATTTATTAACCACCTCCAGCAGCTAATCATGGGACAATTTACGAGTGGAAAGATGCTCTCAGAGAGGCAGGCTGGGGCTAGAGGGGGAGGCCAGAGTCCCCCCTGCTCCTCTATTCCATCACTTTATGCGGGTCTCTCTGTCTCCATAAATCTCATTAAAAAGGACCCCTGAAAGCCAATACCTTCATTTCATGTGTGAGGGGGGCAACCAACTCGTGGGAGTCTTGTCACCACAGGCATTTCAATGCCCAAGGACATTTGTTGCTCCTTGAGAGGACTTCTTACTTCCTAAGTGGATTCTCACTTTAAAATCCAGGTTTTGAAAGTTACCAATTTAAAAGGCCAATTTTCCTGAAGTCTTAAATTTCCATCTATAAATATATGCTGTGCTAAGTTGCTTCAGTCGTGTCCGACTCTTTGCAACCCCATGGACTGTAGCCTGCCAGCCTCCTCTGTCCATGGGATTTTCCAGGCAAGAATACTGGAGTGGGTTGCTATTTCCTTCTCCATCTATAAATATAGCACTATAAATGGAGTGCTTTTATCTAAACAGAAAGACAATCCCTCTGCTTGTCACATTACATAGGTTAAAACATAAGACTTTGAGGAACTCAGTTAAATATCCTTAAACTTTTGAAACGCCTTTATTCGCTTCATGTAATTGATTTTTTAAGTACTTCAAATGCTGACAGGCCAGGTTTAAACCCTAACATACCAAACTTTAACATTTCATTTTTATAAATCTAATAAAGTGAATGTATAATTATAGAAAAATTCAAGTTCTCTTAAACAGTTGGAATGGTTTAGAAATGAAGTTGAACATAGCTTGACTCGTATTAACTTAAAATCACAAGTCTAAAAGCAATTACCCAATTTAAATTGAAGCCACATGGCTGATTGTCAGTATTTCTAAGATGCCAGAGTTTCTTAAACATTAAAAACATTGAGATTGGCCTCATTTTAACCCCAAACGAATTAATACTTTGGGTGTCTGTTCTACCTTATTACTTCTACTCATACCTCTTTATCTTCCACTTGCCCCGTTAAGAGGGAGAGGCAGGGTACAGATGCATTATCTCAGATGGGCTGATGAAACAGGTTAAAAAAACATGGGACCTCAGCACACTCGCTTCTTGCTTAGAGATCTAAGACCAGGGTATAGCTTCTGAGTGCTATATGCTGCTGGCAGCGTCTTACCTGATACAGACAGACCTTTATCACCCTAGCTCAACAGCCTTAAACTGGGATTGGTGTTGCAACCTTAATCTCCTAACATCTCTTCTGTTCCAGTCTTCTCACAGGCAGAGGTAGACAGAGGTACACATCACCCCAACCCCCTTCATAGCCACGTCTTCTGGCTTTGCCCACATCCTCACAATAGTGCCCACTGGATGCCCGACATGTTCCTTTTTATCTCCAGCAATGCTCACAATGAGGCTTCCCTGGTGGCTCAGTGGTAAAGAATCTGCCTGCAGATGCAGGTGACCCGGGTTCGACCCTGGGATCCGGAAGATCCCCTGGAGGAGGAAATGGCAACCACTCCAGTATTCTTCCCTGGGAAATCCCACAGACAGAGGAGCCTGGCAGGCTACACCCCATGGGGTGGCAAGGAGTTGGACACAACTGAGCAAATAAACAATAACAACAATTTTCACAGTAAGCCTCTAGGATAAATATCCTTGTGGCCACTTTCAGATGAGAAAAAATGAGGTTTATGGGGAGTACATGTAAATCCATGGCTAATTCATATCAATGTATAACAAAAACTACTGTAATGATGTAAAGTAATTAGCCTCCAACTAATAAAAATTAAAAAAAAAAAAATGAGGTTTAGAGAGGCTAATTAACTCAACTGTCAATATAATGAAAGGTTTGGAGTTTCTTCTGAGACAATCCAATGGTCCAAAGTCTACTTTATCCAAGTCCCTGTTGAATTCTCCTCCTCCCATTCAGTTTCATGTTCTTTCTTGTCTCAGATCTCCTCCTGTTATCAGCATCCTTTTTCTCACACAGACCTTCCTGGGTCCTGTTATACCACAACTTCACACCTAAAATTCTTGATACTTCCTCAAATTTAAAAAAAAAAAAAAGAGTTTTAAAATCAAGGTAATAATAGCAGGTCCTTCTGTGCTAATGAAATTTGACATGGAAAACCAAATGTCAGTAGGAATGTCTCCTAAAACGAGAGGCAAGTTTATTCATATCCTTTCTGTCACTACCTTTTATATTGGCTCGTAACTTCTTTTGCTTAGAAAATTATGAGAAAAGTAACCTGACTTTAATTTTATAGAACAGTGATAAATATCACACTGGACTATGGGCTATTAATTTGACAATGAAAATGTAATCAAAGAGCTTTAAGAGCTCAGAATGATTTTATCCTGATCATTATGAGCTGTATTTTATGTAACATCATATTTCTTTCCCTTGCAGACAGATAAGCTTAAAGAACTTAAGTGAGGTAAGTAGCAATTCTGTCCTAGGAAACAAAAAAAAAGGAATTTTTTTGCATTAACTGTCTGTGATGGGCAAGATGCTTAGTTATCATAACAGCTATGCTCAATATGTATTAATAGCCTATTTTTTTAAAAAATCATTTTTAATTGGAGGCTGCAGTCCATGGGGTCACAAAGAGACACGGCTGAGTGACTGAACTGAACTGAATTGCTTTACAATGTTGTATTGGTTTCTGCAATGTAAACAATGTAAACTAGCTGTGAATATACATATCTCACCTCCGTCTTGAGCTTCCCTCCCTTCCCAGATCCAATCCCACCCTGTAGGTAGTCACAGAGCACCAGCATGAGCTTCCTGTACTACATAACAACTTCCCACTAGCTGTCTATTTTACACAATTATAAAGTACCCTACTTTAAAGGCGATAAAACTAAAGCAAAACAAGCTAAGCCTGAGATTTTAAATGAAATCCCTATTTGCCACCACATTCAGTGTTTTTGGAAGACATGAGGTCTCCACCAATGACTTCCATTCTTCAGCATTTCAGAAGTAAATGTTGGAAATTGTGATACAATTTCCTGACTATTTGTTCCTCACAAGAAAGGAGTGCAAAGTGGATTATATAGGAGATACAGAGTCACACAGACCTGATTTAGAATCCCACTCTGCCATCAACAACTTTGTGAACTTGAGCAAATCCTCCTGTCCTCACCTCATCCCTGTTCTATTCTGTTTTCCCAACCAAAAAATAGAAACGGGTATCCTCAACTTGGCAAAGTCGATGTGGCAAAGTCAGTCAAAGTCGGCACGTAAATGTCCAGGTGAGCAGCAGAGGCTCGATAAGTGGCATGAAGGTCAGGTCAGAGGGAGCTGTCTTAGAGCCCCTTAGATGGTGACTTCTTTAAGCCCCAAAGAAGGTCCTTAAGCCAACAGCAGGCCCTCATTTCACTCCCCACTGGCCTCCTAAGGGATTTGGTACTTACCTTAGTATTTGACCTATGCTTTTACGTATAGAACTTGGAGGTTGATCCCCTTCTTTCTTTCTTTTGATGTCAAAAACTTGGCCTCCATGCACTGATGCTGAATGCAATCTCAGACACAGAGTTTTGGGTGAAACAGAAAGGAATAGCTTTATTGCTTTGCCAGGCAAAGGCTCACAACGGGTTCCTGCCCCTGAAAGCTGTGTGTCCCAACGCTAGAGGATATGGTGAGGAGTTTTTTATAGCAATAGTTCAAGGGTGAGGTTGCTGATAAGAGTAGGGTGTGTGCAGGGCCTCTTTTAATCTGGCTCCAGGTGGTCTCCTGATGAGTTTCTATGGTTCCTGAGGTCATCAAACTGTGACCTCTCTCTGGAATGAAGAATTGTATCAGGTAGTTAGCATTTTCACTTATTGGGGGTTTTAGCAGTTCTTCAGAAGACCATCCCCAAGAAAAAGAAATGCAAAAAGGCAAAATGACTGTCTGAGGAGGCCTTACAAGCAGCCATGAAAAGAAAAGACGTGAAAGGCAAAGGAGAAAAGGAAAGATATATCCATTTGAATGCAGAGTTCCAGAGAAGAGCAAGGAGAGATAAAAAAGCCTTTCTCAGTGATCATTGCAAAGAAATAAAGGGAAAAAAATAGAAAGGGAGACTAGAGATCTCTTCAAGAAAATTAGAGATACCAAGGGAACATTTCATGCAAGATAGGCTCAATAAAGGACAGAAATTGTATGGACCTAACAGAAGCAGAAGATATTAAGAAGAGGTGGCAAAAATACATAGAACTGTACAAAACAGATCTTCACGACCCAGATAATCACGATGCTGTGATCACTCACCTAGAGCCAGACATTCTGGAATGTGAAGTCAAGTGGGCCTTAGGAAG